CAATAAAAATGAATGCAGGTGACAATGAATCATCAAACTTACATCAAAATAACCTATCGTGTTCTAAATTATATTCACTAAGTTAAGTAAGAAATGGGTGGGTACGCAAGTAAAAATATTTACGTAGAATTTTTCAAAGGTTATAGGTTGTTTCAATTCTAATTTGTCTTTTGTTGTTTATTAGCATAAACTGAAAAAAAAGAGCAAACTCAACAAAGTTTACTTTACCGTTAAGTTTTTGAATGAGTCAGTTGGTAAATTGCTCATATGACCATAATATAAGAAAATTAAATATTAACTTCTACCTTGAATTAGCCAAAATTTCAACAAAATGAATCATGCTGAACACATTTAGTCAACGACAGGGTGAAAAGAACAATTTTTTAATTGAATGATGATTTTTGTATTGTCGAGATCTTGGAGATGGATTGTTCAATAACAAGGTGTTCATTGTCGTTATGAATAGAATCACTTTCGAAATTCATGTGCACAAGGCTAGAAAACGATATGTAAGATCAGTTCTTGTGCTGTAACATGGAAAGTAACTAAAGAATACACTTTTGGTTACTCTAGTCATTAAATTATTATTGTCTCAATGAGCTGCTTTGAATATAAAAATTAATTCTTTAGCATATCAGTTTATTACAAGCCTAATTTAAATAACTAAGTAATATCCCGAGAAAAAATTCTATTTCACCGTGTTTTACAACTTTTATGATCAGTCGATACGTATAATGCCCTACCATCTTAGTGTTATCTTAAACTTATTTCTGTCATATTTTGCTCAAGAAAGTCATCTGTAATCCATTATGATCCTGCCCTATTTTCTGAAGAAATATTTAGTTTATACCAGTTGAGAAATTACTGAATTAACTAAGAAACCGTTCTGTATATTTATTTCGTACTGAAGTATGTAAAAGCAGTACTGACAGACGTGTTATTGTCTACAGTTTTAATTTATCACTACTTTGAAGTAAGAAAATTGATCGCGCAAAAATGACTAAACTGTTAGTTATTCTTCCACAGTTTCTCTGTTTCTCTTCATGACTGATAAACATACTTACTTA